CACCCCGATGATCCTCGATACCAGGCCAGTTTGTGTTAGATACTCTGGGAGCGTTTGACAATATTTCAGGACAAGCGACGAAAAACAGATCTCCTACACCGCTCAGTGTATTAGTGAGCTGAAAACACTCGAGGCCTGGGGTTGGACACCCTGCTCTACAGCCTCAGGAAGCCTGGAGGCCAAATGCATGAGCTGCAGGCTGCGTGAGCAGCGTGACGTTTAACCGAGCGTGTCTTTGCTTCCTCAGACTGTTCACGGGAAGCTCTGCAGACATCCTTTCACCGACAGACTGCTGCCCATCATCACTGACTCTACGGTGGACGTGGAGCTCGGAACTGGTGACCACCACACCTGACACCTGACGTGACACTTCCTGTGGATGTGTTCGGCCCTCTGACCCGTGGCATCCGCCCACTTCCTGTTTGTCTTTTGCAGGTGCAGTGAAGGTGACTCCTGCTCACGACCACGCAGACTTTGTCCTCTCACAGAGACACTCGCTCCCACGCCTGACTGTGATTGCTGGCGACGGGACGATGACGGCGTCCTGTGGCCGGTGGCTGGAGGTGCTGTGTTACCTGTTTGTGTACATGTGTGAGTTTGTTGTGTGTCTGTGGTTTTCACTGTTCTTTTCTTTGTGAAGGGGGTGAAGCGTTTTGATGCCAGACAGCTGGTTGTGGACGCTCTGGTTGAGAAAAGACTGTTCAGAGGAAGAAAAGATCACGCCATGAGTTTACCCGTCTGCAGGTACAGCAGCGCGTGCACGCTCAGCAGCGTGTGCACGCTCAGCGTCTGAGTGTTCACTCTAAGGGAGCTGGATGGACCGTGTTGTGTGCAGAGCGTTTCGTGCCAGCTGACACCCCAGTACAGAGTTTGACTGGTGTTTGTGTCGGTGCATTGATTAAAGGGAACGCCTGCATGCTTGGTCCCTGCAGTGACCTGCTCAGAGGGCTCGGTTTTGCTTTTGGGGGATTTTGCCGTGGTGGGTTAGCTCCACTTGTCCCCTCGGAGCAGAGGTCAGTAATTAATTCCCCACAAAGCCACATGAGAAGCTGTGAGGGGCGCACGGATATATCCTGATCT